AATGGAATAATAATTATAATGATTATTATTATTATTATTACCAAAAAAAAATTAATTACTAAATAAAAACAAAATAAGAAATATTACTATTGTACTAGGGCTGCACAATTCGGCCAAAATGTAATAGTAATAATAATAATTAATAATAATAATAATAATAGTACATTATAAAAAATGATTTGATGTATTAATGTTATTACTGCTACTAAATAAAAAGTATTACAATTACTATATTAAAACAAAATAAAAAATTACTATTGGACTAGGGCTTCACATTTGGCCAGCATTGTGTGATTATATCAATATGGCTTAATAATAATAATTATAATAATTTAATAAAAACAATACAATTATTTTTTATAATTACTATTATAATTATTACTAAATAAAATAACTAAATGACTAAATGAAAACAAAAGTATAACTATTGTAATATTTCACTGTAAAAGTAAAGTATAAATATAATAAAATTCTATTTTACACCACAACTTTAAAATTACAGCTACGGTTGAACTTTTATTTTGAAGGAAAACTGCAGGGAGCCTATAAAGTGTGTAAATTGTGCTTGAAATGTGCCGCGCTTCACTGTGAAGCATGCAAAGCATGAATTTATTCAATTCAATTTCATCGATTTGATAATCTCACTAAGCCATATCGCAGTTTGGGTTTTATTTGGATTAATCGTACAGCCCTGCTTCTGTTCATATGTGTGTGTCCCTGCAGCACAAAAGCAGTCTTAAGTCGCTGGGGGATATTTGTAGCAATAGCCAACAATACATTGTATGGGTCACAATTATACATTTCTCTTTTATGCCAAAAATCATGAGGATATTAAGTAAAGATCATGTTCCATGAAGATATTTTGTAAATGTCCTACCGTAAATATATCAAAACTTAATGTTTGATTAGTAATATGCATTGCTAAGAACTTCATTTGAACAACTTTAAAGATGATTTTCTCAATATTTAGATTTTTTTGCACCCTCAGATTCCAGATTTTCAAATATTGTCCGATCCTAACAAACCATACATCAATGGAAAGATTATTTATTCAGCTTTCAGATGATGTATAAATCTCAATTTAAAAAAATTGACACTTATGAGTGGTTTTGTGCTCCAGGGTCACATATATATAATACATTTTTATACAATGCCTTTTAGGACCACAATTGCTTTGCAAAGGAATAAGAGAAACAAAGAACAACAAACGAATAGGACAGGTGTAAACGGAGAGTTGGAGAACGTGTGCAAATACCTCAAACAAATGCATCATTCAAACACAGAATGGCAAATAATGAAGTTGGTGGTGTTTTCCTGCAGGCCGAGGAGTTTCACAGACTGTGGAAGACGCCGCGGCGGGAGCGAGCTGAATACTTCCATCAGATCCTGAAGACTGACTCCGAGCACGGCGCAGAGAGAGTCGGCCGGTGAGCACGCTAGTTTAATTAATTATATACTATGGTTGAATCTGATTGGCTGATGAATGTTTGAAGGTGTGCAATTATTTTCAGGGAAACGCATGGCGAACCTAGTTCCAGGCAGCTCTGACCGCATCACACGACCATATCACTCCGCCAAATGATTTCTGTTATTTCAAAGGTCAAAATCTCCAAAATCCACGACGACACCGGCCAAACAAATCAATATAGTAACCAATAGGATAAAAACGTTTTCTTTTGTATGGAAAGCTCTCACACACACTAATGTTGTCAGCACTACTCTGACGATTTTATCAGTAACATCGCTTTACAACTTAAAAGCTACATGACATTTCTCAACGGCGCTGTTTGTGAAGAAAACAAACTTAAAGTTTAACTTTTACTAGAGACATTGCTGCCGAACACTTTTGAGAGACACACAGACTCTCTCTCTCTCTGTCTCTCTCATAACTTAGTTATTAACTGCATTAGTCTGCTATCAACGGCTCAAGGTTACTAGGTCTAAAATTACGTTTATAAAGCGGAGAGTTCCGGTGCTTGATTCTGATTGGCTGAGCTGCTTCGAAGCTGTTGTAAATGACGCTACAAAGTAACACACACCTTTGTTTACGTTTGTGTGTTGCTCGGCAACCACTTTGTAGCAACCACAACTGTTTCTGAGGAGCTACATTGTTTGGTGGAAGAATACTGTGTTTATTAATATCATTACACTTTATTTGCTCTGTTTTATTTTGTGAAACCTTACTACGCAGAGAGCTGGCTCGTGAGATGGGACTGCCGTGGGCCGAACACTGGGCTTTCCTCGGCTGCTTCATCGATCTGTGCAGCAGCGACGGGCTGAAGATGCTGGAGGAGCACCTGAGCTTCACAGAGGACCGCTCATCCGCAGGTCAGTCTCTGAACACATCTCCTGCTCTTACTACGGCTGCGAGATGTGACCCGAAATCAAAACCTCGGTTCAACACTTTACCTTGATCACGATTATTGAACGATTTTTTTATTTATTTTTTTGCCCTCATAGTTCATTAAAGGGATAGTTCACCCAAAAATGAAAATTCTGTCATTAATAACTCGTTTAAAAAAGTAAAAATAAAAATGTGGTTGTTTTGTATCACTGCAGCTTTGAGTCCAAGACCAATTTCCTACTCTAATGTTGTAACACCTAACTTTTTGATGCCACATAAAAATCGAGGGACCACAGAGAGCCATTTCAGTGAGCCATGTGTATTAAAGACATGCTGCGAGCCACACATTCACATCAACAAGTTACATTAGCATATAAAGTCTTCCAGAGTTGAGGAAACATCAAGTCCACCAAGTCCATCAGTTCAGACCACAAGTAGCATTTTGTCTCTGTGAAATCAGTCTTTAAAGTGGTAAATATGAGACCAGCAGTCCTTAAATGAAACAAGGAAGAATCTGAATCAGCAAACAATTCATCCGTTTGTTGATCATAGAATAAGATGAGTAGATGGTTGGATGAAGACAATTAGCCCCTGTTTATATCTGTGCTGTTTCCTCTCTCATACAAGAGCCCTCTGCATTTAAACAAACATACAATCAACACGTGTTTAGTGTTAACCCCTGACAGAAAGCATATTTTCAAACTCTACATATATACAAAACACATTTGAGAGCAAGAACAAATTGTTCCTCAAATCAGGGTACCAACAAAAGGACAGCAAAGGAGAAGACGTTCCACTGTTGCCAACTCTCGCCAGACAAATAAGCATCCGCAGCTTCAAAAACAAGCCCAATATGTTTTGATCATTTATTATCATAAGAGCAGACAGAGTGTCAATCAATGCATTGGAGAATACAGCGAACATAAATGAAAAGAAACAAAGTTGCTTGTCAAATTTTCCTAACAAGCTACCATATTTTTTTAAATAAGCCCAAAAAACCGCGACCCGGGATTTTTTCACGCAACTTTACAAAAATAGAAGCCCAAAGTCGCGTATAATACGCGGACGTGGCAACTCTGGTGCTTAGCATTCCTGGCTAAAGGGGCGGTCACACTGAACTTTTCGTTCCATTGACTTCCATTCATACGCATGCGAATGCGTCAGACCGGAAACGCAAGCTCATGCGAAAAATGTAGCATTTCGCTGCGTTCCAAAGTTCAAGTTTGGTGAACTCTGACCTGAGAATTCGCATCAGTGCTACAAAGTGGTTGCCGAGCAACACACAAACGTAAACAAAGTTGTGTGTTACTTTGTAGCGTCATTTACAACAGCTTCGAACGCGGCTCAGCCAATCAGAATCAAGCACCGGAACTCTCCGCTTTATAAAATAAGAACTAAAGGTCAGAGTTTATAGAAGAGGCCCACAGAAGCGTCAAGATTTGAAGACCGTTTGTGTGGAAGAATGAGCCGAAATCACACCTGAGCAATGCATGCCACTGGATTCTCCAGACAGCTGTCATCACCAACAGCGCCTTTCGTACGAAGTATTGAATACAATTCAGTAAGCGTGTTCAATACCTTTTCCCTGGTCATTCCACTTTATTACACACAACTTAATTTCTGAACTTATTCATTTTGTTTTCTTTGTATGTATGGATTATTTGGGTTGTTACCGACATCTGGTGAAAATTGCATGTCAACAGCACCTTTAGAAATATATTTACTGAGAAAAACGGTGACTTGTTCAATACTTATAAATATATATATACATACATACACTGCCGGTCAAAAGTGTGGGATCAGTACGACTTGTAATGTGTTTTAAAGCAGTCTCTTCTGCTCATCAATGCTGCATTTATTTGATCAAAAATACAGAAAAAACAGTAATCTTGCAAAATGTTATTACAATATTAAAATAATGGTTTCTATTTTAATATCCTTTAAAATATTATTTATTTCTGTGATGCGCAGCTGAATTTCCATCATCATTACTCCAGTATAAAGCATCACATGATCTTCAGAAATCATTCTAATATGCTGATTTATTATCAGAATTATCAATGCTGTGCTGCACAATATTTGTTTTTGGAAACTGCGATACTTTTTTCAGGATTCATGTTCCAGTGCTTTTTATTGTCATCCCTCCCTTCAGGAAGAAATGAAACACAGTATCTCCGAGAGCATCATAGTACAAAAATAGGAACATATCTAACAATAACACAATACTAACAACAATGTGTCTGCAAACATTGCAGTGAGGTAGATCATAGTGTGCAACAATAAGCAGTTAAATGTTAGTCCTTAGAATAAAGTGGTGCCATAATAGGCATCAAATAAAATGTGCAATTTCTGAACATTACATAATGTCCAGTATCCATCTCTGGGCCCCCAAGAGACACAGGTACAAGATGAGGGCATTGATCAGCCACAGATGTTATGTAACCTGATCGCCTGAGGAAAGAAACAATTTCTCAGTCTTGTCATGATCGCACACTTCGGAGTCTTCTTCCAGATGGAAGTAGGCAGAACAGTCCAGCAGCGGGGTGAGCTTTGTCCTTCATAATATTAGTTGTTCTCTTGAGACACCGCACTTTGTATGTCCTCCATAGATGGGAGACTAGATGCAGTGATCTTCTGGGCAGCCTTTACTAGCCTCTGTAGGGCCCTCCTGTCAGCGGCCAAACCAGACGGTGATGTTGTTAGTCAGGATGCTGTTCACTACACATCTGTAGAAGTTAATCATGATGATGTTACACATGCCTGCTTTTTTAAAGGGGTCATAGGATGCTACATGCACTTTTACAAGTTGTTTGAACTGAAATGTGTGTTGGCAGTGTGTGTACACAACCACCCTATAATGATAAAAATCCACCCAGTGTTTTTTTTTTTTTTAAATCTGGTTAAATGTTTTCCCCTTTCTCAAATCGAGCCGATCTCAGATGCCTGTCTGAGTGACGTCACACAGACAGACCCCTCCCACCGCCCTGAGTGACTGTCATCAGTCCGCCATTGTTTCACCGCCGGAGCAGATGTAGACAAGAACGACTCCTCCGATCTACATAAATGCGTCTATGTTCGCGCGAATCATTCGTGATCCAGCTTCATCTACAGAAGAAGTGAGTATAAGGTTTTGTAATGAATTGTTGCAAATCGCTTTTCCTAATGATGTGCTAATTAGCAAGTTTCACGATGAATAAACAGTCCCTCTGAGAGCAGCTCGGAAGAGAGAGGGGCGGAGTCAGCAGAGCTCATTAACATTTAAAGGGAAATGCTACAAAAACGGCTTGATCTGAAAAGAGCTGGTTTTGACAGGTTAAAAAAGGTGTTAGGGTTAGGGAACCCTATTGGGAAATTTTAACCAAACTATGTTACAGACTGTTCATTAAGAATCTAAAGAATCATATCAACTTGTGGAAAATGGGCATCCTATGACCCCTTTAAGTCTTCTCAGAAAGTGTAGTCGTTGTTGGGCTTTCTTCACCAAAGAGGCGATGTTCTTGTTCCATGAGAAATCGTCTGTTATGTGAACTCCCAAAAACTTGAAGCTTCCAGCTATCTCCACTGCAGCACCATTTATAAGCAGTGGAGGGTGAGTAGTAGAAGACTTCCTGAAGTCAAAGATAATTTCCTTCGTCTTGCTGACATTGAGGGACAGATTATTGGTTTTGCACCAACGCTCCAATACCTTTACCTCCTCTCTGTATGCAGACTCGTTGTTATGCGAGATGAGGCCCACCACTGTTGTATCGTCAGCAAACTTAATGATATGATTGTCCTGCTGGTGTACGACACAATCATAGGTAAGTAGTGTGAACAGAAGTGGACTGAGGACACATCCCTGAGGTGCTCCGGTGTTCAGAGTGAGCGAATGAGACGTTTTCTCATGTATCCTCACTACTTGGGTTCTATTTGTCAAGAAATCCAGGACCCAGTTACACATTGTGGCATTAAGTGCATGAAGTTTGCTGATGAGGGTCTGTGGCAAGATTGTATTAAATGCGGAACTGAAGTCTACAAAAAGCATCCTGACATACCTGTTCTTGTCTTCCAGATGTGAAAGAGCCAAGTAGATGACATGCGGTATGGCATCTGCTGTAGAACGATTTTGTCTGTAAGCAAACTGTAAAGGGTCCAGTGTAGGTGGAATAATTGTCTTGATGTAAGCCATCACCAGCCGTTCAAAGCACTTCATGATAATTGACGGCTGATCGTCCTCCAATGAATTTAGTTTTGTGGATGGAATGCTGTTAAGTTTGTCAAATCGGGCAAAAAAGTTGTTCAGTGCATGCGGCATCAAGGGATCACTGATAGGAGCATTATTGTAGTTTTTGCTCCTGTAATCGGTACGTTCTTTCAGGCCCTTCCACAGTCGCTGGGGGTCATTTATCTAGTTTGGGAGTATGAGGTTTTGGCTTTCTTTATTCCTGCAGTCAAGTTGTTCCTTGCTTCCCTCAGTGCTGTTTTATCCCCTGTTCTAAAGACAGCATCACGTGTTTTCAGGAGGGAACGAACCTCTGCCGTACACCACGTTATTTTCATGAGGGAAGCAACGTCATCTACGCAGTTGTTAATGTAGCATGTGACAGATGAAGCGTATTCTTCAATGTCTGCTACACCATCCAATGTTGCAGCCTCCTTGAACACGTACCAATTTGTGCGATAAAAACAGTCCTCCAAAGCTGACATAGCTCCATCAGTCCAACTTCTTGCACATTTGGAAGCAGATTTCACCCGTTTACGAAGTGACTGGTAAGATGGCATTGTAGGAACAGTGACATGCTAATAGAATTTGAGTTGGACCTTCTTAAGATTAGTCTGGTTAAAGTCGCCTGCTATCACAAGGAGTCCCTCCGGATGTATTGTGAGTAACCTGCTGACATCTCATAAAATTCATTCAGTAATATATACAATAAGTTTCTGTCTGCACGAAAAGTGGTTAATTCATCCAGTTGTACAGCTGAGTCTTTGATGAATAAAAAGTTAGAAAGAACAGCATTTATTCAAAATATAAATCTTTGCTATCACTTCTTATCAATTTAACACATCCTCGCGGAATAAAAGTTTGAATTT